GCCACAGCAACGGAGTGCTTTACAGTCAGCTGTGTGTGACCATCTCAGGCCCCAGGACTGCAAATGCTACTAGTTTGAAGATGAGCTACTGAAGCACGGAAAGTTGCTGAGAGTATGAGATACAGCAGCAAGGAATTGGTTATAGAGTTATCAGCCATGAGCTGATTCCAGATAACTGTCCATAGCAGCATTCTTGGACTACTCTCCAAGTTAAGTAGTTTATTTTCAGAGACTAAGTAAACATGACTAGATCCTCCAGCTCTGCTGCTGGGCTGTCCTTTGCTAAGCCACAGAAGCTCTAGGACTTTAAAAGTCTGTGTCTCACAAGTCGTTCCTGACTCCTGCTGATTTCAAGCATCTGGGTCACCTCAGGCACATGGGGAATCTGTAACAGAGTAAAGAGTGGAGCTCCATCTGCTCAGCCCCATGCCAGCATCTGAAGCACACGGCCAGGCTACCATTTGTCTATGTGTTTCTCATGATTTATCTACTATTTTTCCCTAAATCCAGAATAACAACTCTTTTCCCCCTACTCTATCACCTGAAGGCAGTCAGCACTTCTGCCACACAGGCAAGGACTATGTAGGCTTCATTCTCCAGAGGCTTGTTCATTTGTCTTTAAAGTCCTGCCTGGGGTTGTTTTCTTGAGGAAACAAAGAACAGGGCACAGGACCATGAGCTGAGTAACTAGAGGACCCCATCCAAAGTCGATGCATTGGCTTCAAATGGCCAAGTGTGAAGACCACAAAGAACTGACTCTGGCATTGCCACAACCAGCCAAGGCCAAGAGAAATACACATAAACCTCTACAGCCTTTGGATAAGACTCCAGCAAGCCCCCTTGTCCCATTAACCACTTCCTGAAAAAGAATGATCTTCTATATTAACTATTTTCAAATCTTCATCTGTGTTTTCCATGTATATCACACTGCAGAGAGAATACTAGTCTTCCAGGAATTAGATGGGAGACTTGCACCATGCCCTTTCTTCTTTCTATTACCACCCAGCTCCCCTGAAGTGAGGAGAAAGATGGGGCAGAATGAGAAACCCAGTTCTCTCAGGAGAACTCAAAGTGGGGAGCAGATTTTCTGGGAAGGTCTGTGCACAGTCAGAGCCTTCATCTGCATGAAAACGTTGCCTGTCAGCTCCTCACCTGCCTCGGAGAGCCAAGCATGGAGGTTTCATATGGGAGCCACAGATTTCACGGGAAGCAGCAGCTTGTGCCGTGTTTGTGAGAAGAGAAATGTCTGGGACATAAAAATCATCTTGGTCAGGCCTTGTCTCTCAATCGCCCCATGTTAAATAATAAATAGACACCTAATGGAACTGGGTCTGACTGCAGGATGCAGCGTAAGTGAAGCCAGAGGAGACCTGCATCTTCCCCCTTACTTCATCATCAGTGAGTAAATGGGTCACTGGTAAATGGGATCCAAGTAAATCTCCATCTTTTTTGTTTCATGCTTATACTGAACCTACTGCAATGGGATGTCGCTCAAGCACACAGAGCTCTGCTACAAACTACTAAATAGAAATATTACAAACGATCTCACCAAAACCTCTTATGATTCTACTCTGGGCTCAAGAAAAACTGAAGAAACTGTTTTTCATTCCAGAAGTCCTTCATTTGCTTTTTAATTGTGCAGTGGGATGCCTTGGGACCTGCTCTTTCTTTCTCCTCTTTTTTTTTTTCATTTTCTATTTATTAATATTTAATCTCTGCATGGTGCAGAAGAAAATCATTTCTGCAATAACGTCAGAATGGGAGGGTTAGAAATCAATAGCCAGGCTCTCACAAGACACATTCAATTCCTACTTAATCCATTTTCGACTGCTCCCCTGTCTTATTAGAACAGCCAATTTTTCCCACAATTGTTAGCTCGGGATATTCAGGTTGCAGGATGGGATTGAAAGAAACTAGACACGTGGAAACCTCCTTCCTGTGAAAAGCAGGAAAGGGAGCATAGCATTTGTATTCGAGAGAGAAATCCAGCTCTTATTCTGAACACAAATCCCTATTCCAAAAATATTCTGAAAGTCTGTCCCCAGCTCCATACTCAGCACTGTAAACAGTAACATGTCCTGCAAGCACTGTCAAGCTGTCCTGAGCAAAAGCCCTGCCTCAGACTGGCACATTTCTCCACCTCTGCTTTTTTTTTAAAGGTCATCGGGCACATCCAGAGCTCTCAAATATGACCTTTCCTAATGCACAGTTCTGCAGAGAGGGAGCAGGCACATGGCCATACTCAATAGGAGAAGCCATCATCTTAGACAGTATTTGGCAGTAGAGTCCCATGCATCTCCCTTAATATCCCCCAAAATTGCAGATAAGGCAACAGGCCCTTGGTATTATTCTTGAGCAGAGAGTGAAGACCCATGGCTCTCCAGCAAATATGCAGAGGGTGTAGCCAAAGCAAAGGCTCCTTTGTGCCTGTTGGACATAAAAAATCTAATCCAAGTGTTGAAGGGCCAGCAATTTGAGCGAGCTGGGACAGATGAATAGGAGAAGCAGAATGGGACTTGGGGAGAAACTGGACTGGATGAGGCCTGTCCATCCAGGACCCTCACTGCAAAGTCAAGATGGATTTAGATGCCCTGGGGAAGTGGAGCAGATTCAGTTTTGCCCTTGCAGGAGCATGGTGGCCACGCCAGGCAGCCGGAGCTCTGCCTGATTTATCTGGCCTCCTCTGAGTTTGCCCGATGCAAGTAGAGGATTTGCCAGCAGAGGGAACTGCAAACCAGATAATCCCACCTTCTGTGCTGAAACATGCAGCAAATCCTGGAGCTCTGCAGAGTCTGTCCTCTACTGTTTGAAAGAGAGATGTTTCAGGTATCTGTGCCAGCACTCTTGACAGACTTGCTGTGAGTTCATGTTGGGGTGTTTTTTTGTGGAGAACTTGCGGGTAGAGGGGTGGATTGCTCAAGAGAGACCCATTCAACCAGGAAAACAAAGCAGAGAGCTGTAAACTCTCTGCTTACTGTAATAAAAAGTCCTCCAGATTCTTACAGCCATCTTCTTGCTGCCACCTACTGAACAGGAGAAAGTAGGAGTATCTGCCATAAAGAGGCCTGTGCTCTGAAATAAACCCTTACCATGAAGAAACTGCCTCAAATTAACGTATTTCAAAATAGTCAGAACCAGGACAGCATTGCCTTTGCTTAATGCATTTTCTACCCAGTTGTTCTTGCAGGTTGCCTCACTTCACACCTGGGGGAAGAGGCAGGCAGCTCCAGCTGAGCTTGCTGCCTGGTTACTCCTCTTGTCCTAGCACCATTTGGACTCCCCAGGAAATGATCCATTCATATGCTGCTTGAATGCCACTTCACTTTCTGTTCTCCATCGATTTGTCCAAACAAAAGGAAAAACTCTAAAGTTTGTCAGGCCTGGTGCAGTGACAGCTGCCACCAGGAACAGGGTCATATTTATAGGGCAGGAGTCCAAAAGCGAGGATGCAGGATTGGAACTCAAGACACATAAAAACCCATGGATCTTTCTTTGCTCTTTAACTCTCTGAACATTAATGACTTTGCATTACCTCTGCCTTGATCTTCTGGGGAGAGGAGGATGGTGCCCAGCTGATTTCTAGGCTCTGAAGAAGGTGGTCGCTAGGTGTCAGCATGGGACTTCCATAGAGGCGAGGGGCCTTGTCAAGGTGATAGAATTCCCTTTAATTTATGGAGGCAGACATGGGGAATTCAATAATCAAACCATTGGCACTACCTATTTTTTACAAAACGGTTGTGACTCTTTCAGTCTTAATAAAGGTCCTGCCTTGAGGAACTTACAGCTATAATACCTGATATAACTGCAGCTATAATAGTCTGCTGTCAACTATTAAATATTCATTACAAGTTTTGAAGAAGTAAAACAGAAGAAAAACCATTTCTAGCACAAGTCAATCCTGCTTTTACCAATCTCTGCTCATCATTTTCCATGAGAAAGATTTATGACAGTGATTGTTCTCTAGTGCGTCCCTCTATTTGTCTTTTATCACTTACAATGTGGGACTGCCTCCAGAAGCAAGCAGAAGCCTCACTCTGGTCACCTGTGTTTGAAAGCCACCATGAATATATACAATGATTTGCCCCATCAGTAGTCTAAGTGCTCCAGCTACCATAAAACCGTAAAACAATCAAGTGGATAAAACCAGTAAACAGTTTTCATGGTCTAATAAGCCAGAGAAGCGCAGTGAAAGAAGAGAGGCAAGAGCAGTTTTATGTGCTCCACTAACCTGAGCTGTAGGAACACAACCCTTGAAACGTTCAGGGCAGTGTCGCTCTGCGGTGGCAGGAGCTCCGTCACTCGGCGTGAGTGTCCATGTGTCACCATGGATCTCAGCGCTCGCGGCCCTGGTGTGGAAGAGGAAGGGAGACAAGCTCATCATCCCGTGTTAGCACACAGCATGAAGAGAGGTGATGGGGAAAGGACAAGCTAACTGCTCCTCGTAGAGAACCACGTTCTGGAGAAAGCCGCATGTCACCGTAACAGACAAGTTATTGTTTACTACAGCAAACTTCCTACCAGGTGCATCTGCATCAACTGGCTGTGTATGTCCCTAGGCAATACCCACCTGCTCGCATCTGCGCCTCATGGCACTCTGCGTGTCCTGTCCTTTCTTGAAGGCACGGACCATATCTGCATGAAACCTCCTCTTTATAGTGAGACTCCAGACCACAGAACGGTCTCAGACTCCTAAAACAAAAGCTGACACTTGGACCCTCTATTCTAATGCAAAGATTAGGCCCTCTCTAGCATCTCAAAGCAGATTGCAGTGCAGATCACCTTGTTGCCCTTCTCTATGCAGCTCTCACAATCAGCAGTCACTGCTTGGGATTCTCCAGGAGATTTCTCTGAGGATACCTTCACAGCAATGATTTCTCATAGTCCGCAGACCACTGTGCTATCAAAATGGTTAAGGAAAGGAGATTTGTCTCCTTTCTAAGCTTAGCACTCATTTACTGACACCCACAAAGAGGAAGGACAAAGAGTCCCTGCAGAATCGGATGGAGTCACCAAAGATTAAATTTCTTTTTCCAGTAAGTGGAATGAAGGAACAAAGTGAGTCTTTGAAGGAAATAGAAATTGATGGGGCCTTTGCCTTGGAAATCTCTCTACATATCAGGTGCCTCCTCTGTCATCCTTACCTAAATCGAAATGACTTGATCAGCAAGCCATACCCACAGACCTTGCACAACTTTGCCTATCCTTGCAACATGAAGGAGTTAGTGGTTGCTTGTCCCAAGTCACGTTTCTGTGGTTTTCCTTGAGAATAAGACTGGAAAGCTCTCCATAATATATTTCCATCCCTAATCAATGCTTAATGTGCTTAATTTTGCTCAGTAATCTTTTTTTCCTGTTAGAAGGGGAGACTTCCAGCCCAGGTATCACCTTCTAAGAGCTGAGTCTGCTCTCACATCTCAACAGCCCTTATCTATCAGAAGCCAGATACTAAACTAGGAAGCCGTGGCACTTTCTCTCCCCTTCCAGCTTCCAGCTGCGACTTTACCGAGGCCGAGGGAACGTCCTTGCCTCGGTGCCATGCTACATGGGCTGATCTTAGTTGCAGCGTTCTGAGTTTCGACTCCGCTGTCTGCCCAGCCTGCAAATAAAAACCATGAGAGTGCTGCTCCTGCTTCCCACAGCGCCTTTTTTTTTTCTCTGGGATTCCTGGGACAGAGTCTCCTGTCATCCCTGGAGAATTTCACGGGAATTGTCACATGTTGCCCAAACTGTCAGAGGCCGCTGAAGGTGCGGGGTGGCCGGAGGAGCACGGGGGGCAGCAGAGGGGAGGCTGGGGCAGCTCCGAGCCGCGCAGCTGAGGCGGGGGGGCAGCCGTTAGCGACCGTTAGCGACCGTTGGGCGACCGTTAGCGACCGTTGGGCGGGCCGCCACGTCCGG